CTCTCTCTCTCTCTCTCTCTCTCTCTCTCTCTCTCTCTCTCTCTCATCCAAAAAACAAATAGAGATAATGACTCTCTCCGGAGGAATATCCGTTTGCCTGTTGTTTGCCATAGAGTTGATCGCATTGAACGCCATATTCAAAGAGCAACTGCCGGTGATCTACGTGTATGTGCTGTTGTCGATGATCACAGTATTGGCCATATGTTACCGATTTGGTCCGCTGTACGGTCTGACCGGTCTGTACGCCATAACCAATGCCGTCAAACTGTCGCTCACTTTGATCTACTGCTGCCTTATTGTCAGCCGGCGGTCAATGATTGCCGCAAATAATCGCAATATTAATAACAATAATAATTATATTAATAGTGAGATATCTGTCAAGAATTGGTGTTATTATCATAGCATCGGATCAAATGGAGTCCACTATTAATGGTTCTCTCTCTCTCTCTCTCTCTCTCTCTCTCTCAACACATAATATAAATACTATTTTAATATTTTATAACCTCGATAAAATGTTTTTATAACAAAATAACTATTTTAAAGCTTAAGATAATTAATATAAATATGATTGTGTCGATTGCGGCAAAATATTAGATAAACATACAGGGTAGTGATCAACAAAAACACTGACGAACACAACGTGTAAATTGGCATAAATATAAATCCCGGTCCCATCGACACCAGTGTGAGGGCCAAGTAAACTAGCAAGCTGTTTTTACACTCCCGATAGCACCCGTACAGACCCAACAGCTCCAGGCAAAAGGCCAACGCCAGTCCCATTTCGCCCACGATCAGATGCTTTCCTATGTATTTGAGATAGTTTTCATAAATTGCTTATGGTTATTTATAGTTTTAAATTTAAACTTTTAACTTAACTAGTTTCTAATATAATTCATTAACATTATGGTTAAATTGTTTTGTTATTTTGTTTTATACTCAACTCGTTTCGATCGGATTCTGGTCGCCAGGGTCCTTGTAGGTCAGCATAAATACTATTATACTGATAATCCCGGCCAACAATATTACCGACACTACGGCGTGAAGTATGATGAGGGTAATTTTTAGGCATTTTAACCCAGTATTATTTGTCTCCATTACTTTACAACTTGTTTGTTTTGTATGGATGTCTGGATATTCAATACAACATAATGAGGCGATTCTTGGAATTATAACTGTTATATATTAAATGTATTGTTTTACAAATATTATTTTCATTCATATTTTAGCACTTCTATTCTTATCGAGCAGTTTTATATTACAGGGATTTCCAGGGATGACCAACAATACAATTACTGTATATTACCATCAAGTAGTTAATTGCTATGTTAAATATAGCATTGAAATACATAATGAAATAACTGATAAAATCTTTATAGTAAACTATTGAATGTAAGTTTTGCCTTGTACATTAATTGCATTACGTAATTAGACAAAGTAACCCTGGTTATTCCCCTAAATTACATACCATGTGTATCGCATTAATCAAACGCCTCGAAACACATACTATAACTAACTAATCGAAATGAAAATTGAGAATTACTAAGAATTAAATTTATTTTTCAAATTTAACCAAATTTTTAAAAAAATGATAATTAGATGTAAACCCGTATTTATTGAGTGACAAAACAATGCCATTCATTTGTCTGTATGTCTTGTAGTTCCGGAGTAATCCTCTCCCGAAGAGGNTAACTAATCGAAATGAAAATTGAGAATTACTAAGAATTAAATTTATTTTTCAAATTTAACCAAATTTTTAAAAAAATGATAATTAGATGTAAACCCGTATTTATTGAGTGACAAAACAATGCTATTCATTTGTCTGTATGTCTTGTAGTTCCAGAGTAATCCTCTCCCGAAGAGGTTCACTCCCGAAACACCTTTGGCACAATGACCATGGCACTTTTGTAATCATGGATAATAAAATGCCGTAAAGTGTTTTTAAATAAAGATTAGATAAAGAAAATAACAATTTGATATAAATTTTAGCAATCGACCTAGCCAATTAAAAAATATCGTAAAATTTATTTTTCACATATATACGCCAGTGACAGTACGCGGAGTGCATGCGATCCGCGAGACAGTCGCCGTCGGTGTAGTGGATGTGCCACAACTCCATCTCTTTCCACGCGTTGTCCGTATTGTACGGGTCGTCCAGATAGCCGACGGTCACCCTCTCGTACTTGAAGCCGGGCGTTACGGCCACCGCCGGACCCAACAGACCGGTTAACGGGTCGACAACCAGCGCCTGTTCGGCGCCACCGACCGGCGATTGGACAGCGGAGGCCGCGGCGGCAAACGTGGCGGCCGATGGCTGGGCCGCCGCCCGGAAGAAGTCGATCATCTCGGCGCTGGTCGTCCAGTTGTCGCCCGCTTTGAACAGTGTCTGTAAGTCGAGGTATAGACACTCACCGCCAACGAAACGCTGTTCAAAATAGGAGATAATCAATGGTTAAACACACATCGAGGTAGTGGTGGTCACAAGACAAGCGATACTAACCGACGGCAGCGACAACTGGTCCCGGCGTTCGGTCTTCTCCACGACAAACTCGAGCACATTGTTGGACGTCTTCAGCGATTGCCATCTGATCCATAGAAATCACAAAATAATCATCAGAATACATATCAAAACAAACAACTGATCCCAAACCTGGTGATAATCAATATGACATAATGATTGGGTCCCCATCGGTGCAGAGCGCCCCTCCCTCTGAGACCGGTGCGGCCAATCGGGTTCAACGGTATGCCGTTATCCAACTTATAGAGCACGTGCTGATGGCTACCATCGGGGGCGGCGTCGGCGGTGCGGATCCACGACAAGCGATCGATGGTAATGCCCGCGGGATTGACGCACCGGGCGTTCCACTGGAGGACAGGCAGCTTCGAGATCACTTCCTCCACCTGCAGTTCCTGCAGCAACAGTATGTCTTCGTCGACCACCGACTGCCGGGCCGAAGGAAAGTCCATTTTGGGCATCGAGTAGGCGACCGGGTCGTAGTCGATCCACATCACCTCCCAGGCCACGTACTTGTCAGGGATGGGCACCCGTTGGACGCGAGTGCCCACGTATGGCGAGTGTCGGGCGAGAAAATGGACCAGCGTTTGGCCGCCCGACCCGTTGGCCGCGATGTCGAGACCCCAGTGTTTGGTCGCCAAGTGTTTAATACTCTCCAAATAAACGTGCGATTGATTCATAAGTCTCTCCAATTCGGTTACCTTTCCCTTGGGATCCGTTAAGACAATACACCGATTAGAGAGAGACTTA